TCCCGCCCCCCATGCCAGGCTGTGCCAGGACGGGCAGACCAGAGACAGTTGCCTGTCCCCCTCGGGCCATGGTGATAACACAGGACATTGCTCCAGGGAAAATGAAGACGGAGACAGCAGAGATGAGCAGGGCACTGGGGCTCTCGGCGTGTTGCCTGCCTCAGATGATGTCCGAGGTCAAGGATCCTTCCGAGCAGGATCCTTTTAGATCGGTCTGGTCAGGAGAGTCATCTGCCTGGAAGAAGCAGCACAAAAGCTGTTCAGTTTTCTCATTCAGACTTTCACCACCTTTTCCCTATATCCCAGGTGAGGTTTTCCTGTGGGTCCGTGCAGGTAGAGGGGCCTCCTAGAAACTGGGAGCAGCCTGTGGGAGACGGGCTGGCTGGGGTGGTGTGGGATTCATCCCCCAGCTCCCTAGGAAAGCAACGCTGTGGGAAATGTGATCCTTACATCGGTGATGTCAACCTTGGCGTTCCTGAGGCTGGTGTTGAGAATGTTGGGCAGAGGGACCGACACGCTCAAGGCATCTGCAAAAGCAAGTGAAAGCATCTCATCATGGATGGAAACCCCAAACACAGGCAGCAAAGGAAAGGGGAGAGCCCCACGTCTGGCTGAGTTTGAGAGAAGGAGGGACCCAGCCCCCAGCCGTACCATTAATGGCAGGGGGGGATAATGGCGGGTACGTATGCAGCCGCAAGGACTTGTTTGAGCCATTCTGCAAGTGGGGAGACCTGCAGGGGAAGAAGACGTATATCAGTATCAGAAGAAGACAGCAATGGTTATTGGGATGAAACCAGCAATGTCAGGCTTCTCAATTCAGTTCTGCCACTGCAGGATGCTCAGAGCTATGAAATAAAAAGGCTGGGAAGCTTCCTTCAGTGAAATGCTTCCAGAACTGGGGGTAGAAGGATACACAGAGACAGGCTCTTTGGGTAATTTCTTCTTGATTATTCCTCCTCCCTTCCCAGCACCCCCAGTGTGCTGCCCACAAGTGAACATATACATCCAAGTGTCACTGCTGTAGAGCACAGGGGATGGACAGGGCAGACAACAATTGGTGTCTGCCAAGAGAAGGAA